ACAGTTCTACTGTATGGAGCGGAAACTTAGAAAACTACAAAAGCCATCATCCAGAAAATACAAGGATTTAAGAACGGTTGTCTTCGAAAAATACTTCGGATTCGTTGGCCAGACACTATCAGCAACAATCTACTGTGGGAGTGAACAAACCAGATTCCAGTGGAGGAGGAAATCAGGGAGAAGCGATGGAAGTGGATAGGACACACACTGCAAAAAGCACCAAACTGCATAACAAGACAAGCCCACACTAGAAACCCTCAAGGTCAAAGGAAGAGAGGAAGGCTAAGAAACACATTACGCCGAGAAATTGTGAAAGACATGAGAAGAATGAACGAAAACTGGAAAGAACTAGAAAAGGAAACTCAGGATAGAGTTGGTTGGAGAAAACTAGTCGGCGGCCTATGGTCATTTTGGGGGTAACAGGCGTAAGTAAGTAAGTAACCCGACTATACACGATAGGGAATAGAATGGTTGTGTACAAATTATTTCTGTAAATTCAACTCAACAGTATTCGTTCAAACAATGAACTAATAATCATATTTGATGCTTTTATTAACGGACACGGTTGACAGTCAGTCATGCTAGGTATACATATAGTGTATTCCGATGATATTTTTGAATAAATGTGGCATGAAGACTCAGTTAGTTAGATTATTCGTTTTTCAACAAGTGAGGTCACAGGTTTAGACCTTGTTCTACTCAACTTGATCGAAAGAGATCAAATTATAATCGACATAAAACTTAAGACGGATATTTATCAGCCTAAATTTATACCTACACCATATTAGTGCAGTAAAATACGGAAGTCATAAAATGAGAATCGTGAGAGATATGGAGCCCCTAACTCACAAAAATGTAAAAAAATGAATCAGTGACGATATCTGCAAAGTACATATTCAAATAATCATAGTAATACTGACTATTGATCAGATTAAAATTTAAATTAAAAACTGATAATCGACTCATTGAAAAGTATACAGTGATTAGTAATTAGATAGATATATACCATAGTTTAAGTTTACGTCTACAGCATACCTGAGATATAATCGAATAATGAATGATATTATTTAATGATATGAGTAGGATTTAAAATTTACGCCACTTCTTCTATTTAAACAAACAAATCAATGGAAATGGAGAGAATATTTTAAATAGTACATAGCAGTAAACCAGTATATCTGGTAAGTTAGTTTTTAACTGAATGGGGTCCCCAACCCCATGTCCAACCCTCCTCCTTTATCCGGGCTTGGGACTGGCAGTAGCCCCGAAGGTTCTACTGGCTGCGTCACGAGACAAGCCCTCACATGGAACCCTCAAGGCAAAAGGAAAAGAGGAAGGCCAAGGAACACATTACGCCGAGAAATACAGAAAGACATGAGAAGAATGAACAAAAATTGGACAGAACTGGAGAGGGAAGCCCAGGACAGAGTTGATTGGAGGAAACTGGTGGGCGGCCTATGCTCCATTGGGGGTAACAGGCGTAAGTAAGTAAGTATCGAATTTATTTAAACAGAAGAAGTAGCTTATACTAAGGTTATAAATGAAATGTTATAAATTCTAAATCCTACTCATCATAATATCAGAAATATATCATTATTCATTTGAAATCATTAATCAATCATCATTGTTAGACCACTATTAGAAACTTGGAAGCACAGGACGGCTGTTTCGTCCCGGTATGGGACTCATCAGTGGCAGTGCGCATCCATGATGCCAGCCCAGTGGTCCGATGGTTAGACGTTCGCGCATAATACCAAGCGTCCTGGGTTCGAATCCTGCGGGGAGTAAGAGTCGTGGATACGCACTGCTGATAAGTCCCATACCAGGACGAAACGGTCGTCCGGTGCTTCCAGGTTTCTAATGGTGGTCTAACAATGATTGATTGATGATTTCAAATGTGTAAAAACACAAACCTTCAAAACTCTGCCCAAAAATATCATTATTCAATTATCAACATTCTATGACTACTTGTAATAATAATAATACAAACATACATACATACTTGCGATATCTTTTCTCCTGAATAGGTTTTCGTAAATTTAATTCATATTCCAGCTATAAAAGAAGAATTTAAAAAAGGACTACTTTAAATATTGTTAGATTTACTCGTCAAATAGATACTTTTCGGTTAATTCTTGTATAAAATCGCAAATGCGTAGAATCAGCGTTAATAGAACAATCAGTGCTATGTTTTGTAGCATAGGGGTAGGTTGGAAAAAAGCTAGGAGTGGTCAAATCAAAACATGACACAAATCCATGAAGTCACTGACAAGTGGACTGAGTCATGTTGGTAGTTGTAGACGACCTGGTTAGAGACCTTGGCACAAAATTGTTTGCAATAGCGCAAGTGCATCCATTCTTTGTCTTCTCTCAAATCCTAGTCTTTAGAATTCCTTATCACCTTTATCTTTCTCTTTTCAGGTTTGTTTCACTGGATTATACTTACTGAATAATATCTTCAAACCCTAATCTTCTCCATTACCGCTAATACTTCTATTACATCTACCAGTATGGGATTTCAGTTGAAAATAGCATCTCTGTGCTTATATATGGCAATGTGAACTGATGCACGAACGTTATTGTTAACTGCAAAAGAACATTCAAATGAATGATTTTCTCATACCAAATTATTGTATTTACAAACAAATATATGGTCGTCAAGAATACAAAAATAGAACTAATCGTTCTGTCATTTATTTAATGCAATCCTTAAATACATCGTTAATAAAATACGGGAGAGAACAAAATAATTCATATCATCATATCAAGTAGATTTATTTTATCTACTATCTAAAATTCCAGATTATTTAGAAATAAAAAAAAAATTATGAATGAATGCAAGATCAATTGCTTAAGCATATTTTAAATATTCTGTATCATTCTCTAGTTTATCATTGGATTAGTATAACAATTCTTTACAAAATGCTATATAGCAATGGGAAAACAGCTTGGTTGTGAGTTGTTCTCACAGAGGCAGAAAAAAAATGAAGAAAGAAATGCGCGTTTATTCCTTGGAAGTTAACATTACGGACAACAATGAAAACTTTTGAAAGTGATCAACAAGTAATGGTTTTACTGATTTAAGACAAATTTTACATCTTAAACAGATTATCAAGAGATTACAATCAGTCAGTTTAAACGTGAAACTTGGTACATATAGACATCAGCTCAAGTTACTAAATGATATTAGCACAAAGATGAAATTGTCAGTCCAAATCTCACAGTAGTAGATGTATTAGCAGTAATAGTAGTATTTGAAAAGATCAAGAAACATAGATATGATCCAAGAAACTATGAACCAAAAGAATAAGTTTAACAAACGAAGAAAAGTTATGACGAAATTCAAAAACGAAGTACTTGGAGGAAGACAAAGAATGGATACATTCGCATCATTGAAAACGATTTTCAGTCATGTCTCTAAATCTTTAATCACTGGTTACGTTTGTCCTGTGGATCCCAAATAAGAAGTCGACGCCTATTAACATGGTTCAGTTCAGTTGTCAATGAATTCATGGATCGATGCCAAGTTTTAGTTTAACCAGCCCTAGCTTTCTTTTACCCTACTTTTACATTAGGCAACGTCACTCGTCGAGGCAGTTGATGGTTACGCAAAGGAAAGATTATAAACTTGACACAAAATATATTAAAATACTCTATGAACATAAACCAACATTAGTTGATGCATTATTACGCATGTTTATTTGATGATCAGACAGACAGACAGATACAACACAGAACTTCGTACATAAGTACATCAGTTCAGGTTGTCATACCACGTCAGCACAGAGACGTAACTGTCAGTTCAAATCCAAGAGTGATAGCGATAGTAGAATTATTAGCAGCAATGGAGAAGATTAGGGAGCGAAGATATGATTTGAGAAGTATAATTCAGTGACGTAAATTCAGAAGGAGAAAGACAGAGATTATGGCGAATTCAGAAGGTAAGAATTCAAAAGCACACAAAGAGTGGATGATCGGTTACGCAGTAGATGACTTTGCCAACTTATATTATGTCTTGATCAAGCAAACCTAATGTGATATTGAGATAAAGCGTCTACAATCCAACGTGATATATGATGTAATTAAGCCCTGAGTTTTTATAGATTAATCTAACTGAAATATCAGTAGAGTCAAGACTAACAATGATGATATAATAAAACTCAGTAATATGGCTGAATTCATACTTAAAAATTATAAGAACCCGAGACAATCTTCTGAAACTGAACAAGCGTCAGATCGTTAACCACACGAAAACGATGGCTTTACATCATTTTCAACTCCCGTATCAATTGTACTCTAAGTTGCCAGAATGTGAATGCACATGTTGTGCAAGTGGACACAGGATAAATCTAGTCAGTGATAAACGGCGTAGTGTCCAATGAACCCAATATATTATAGAAATAAATTTTGGTATAAATTGAATCAAAAAACATACTCCAATATCCATTATCTTTCTCACGAGCTAGTATAAACCTATTGATTTTGTGCTCGATTCTTGTTCTTTAGGTACGGTACTTAGAGATTGTTCAACAATCATACACTTATTAACAAAAACCCAAAAGATTACTCTGACTGCCATAAAAGGAATAAAAACATAAAAACGGTTTCCCGATCCCTAGTTTGACTGGGTGACAATATACATTATGTAAGGAACAAAAGTATTAAAATACTTACAGCGCACGAACCATGAAGAATATACTCATCTTCTGGATAGTCATAGCCTTCACAGTTAACATTTACAGACCCAAACGACACACTCTTATCTAGTTCAGCTTTGCATTCCCACTGGACATCGTGACCATCGAAACCACGATTATAACACTGAGCAACCCTAGGATAGTACTGAGGGTATTTGAAACCACTTCCACCAACACATTTGAGCTAAAAAATTACGACAGTTATTACGGTTTACCTGGGGTAATCTATAGCCTTTTCTTGACTGGGCAAACTTATCATGATGTAGAGTTATGACGTCCACGTCTCGAAGCAGTACACGATTTGACTTGGCTAAGCCAGTATGTTTAAAGTAAATCCCACAACATACCTTCACTAAAACAAACACCTACATAAATACAGATCAAAAAGAAAAACATCTTAAATGACGTGTAACAACAGTCGCGCGTATAATATGTCCTTGGAATGTCCTAGACACAAAGGTCACAATTCAATCTCTGATTTAATATGTGTTATAATCATTATTATTCCACTTCTCTTTCTAGTTTGAGATTGTTCCTTGTATGCTGAAATAGATTGGTTCTATTGATGATGGTTGCTAGTGGCTTGTTCGACAACTTTCAGTGCATTAAATATTCATATTCGAGAAAGCAAATGCAGACGTAGAATACATAGAAGCAAACCAGCGAATGAAAGTAAGCATGAGAGAGTACAAACATTAATTTGTGGATGATATAGCAAAGACAGCAGAAAAAGCTGCCTGAGAATGAAACGTGGGACAACGATATGATAGAACGAAGAATCTTGTTGGAAAATATCGTAAACCAGGATGATCACCAAATAACTAGGAAGCAGAAGTAATCGCTGGGATTGAAGAATAGCGAGGCATGTTGAAGAAGCACTTGATCAACCTGCTCAATCCAATTCACCCAATACAGAAGCAGCAACGCCGGACTTACCGATCGATGCTGACCCATCAACAATTTAGGTGATCAGCATGGCCGTCAGATAAATCAAGATCGGCACAGCAGTAGAATCAGAGACAGAAGATGCTGCTAAGATACCCCATATTTTCATGAGCAGGACCTGAGAGGAAGAACAAATACAAAGATGTTGTAATGAGGGACACCTCATCAAGACACAAACCAAGGGATATCTTATTAATTGTGAGAACTATATAGGCATCAACCCTCTCTCAATGCTAGGAAAGGTGTTCAGCAGAGTAATTTCAAACAGAACAACAGATTTCATAGACGCTCAACTTCGAAGTAACCTCAAAACCAATTTATGCTCGCCATAATAATAATGTTATGCAGAACCCTTCGATAAAGAATAACATGCACCAACCGAGTCGCACTTGACGGAGACGTTTTAGAGGATATAAAAAACTTTACATACCTAACTGTATAGGATCATTGACAAACAAGTTGAATCTGATGCAGTTGTGAAGACGCGGCATAGCTATTGAACAACATTTTTTATTCAAAACAACTATGAACAAACAAAGTCACAATTTTCTACACAAACGCTAATGCAGTTACACGAAAACGTAAGGAACCTCGAAGTCGTTGATCCATAAGATATAAGTGTTTATTGACAGTTGTGTATGCAAGATTCTGAGGATTCGCTGGCCAGACACCTTCAGCAATAACGTATTGTGGAAACATCAAGGCTTCTAAAGCTGTACATTCACCAACATTTGCCTTCGAGGAAAACAACATTCTTCCATTCACTATCAAACTCATGG